GAGATGGTGAAGGGCTGTGCCGTTGGTGTGTTGGGTGTGGAATGTGGGAAGCACAACCCAAGCTGGAGGAGATGGACTGAGGGGCAAGGTCAGGGCTGCTTTTATCAGGACAAGGGAGAGGTGGAGGCCTGAGAAGAGGTGGTGCCCGTGATTTGGGCCCTGGACTCAAGTTGACAGGAACCGAGCAGGTGCTTCTTAGAATACCCGGGGAGGGGAGGTCAAGCCGAGTGGAAGGGGCTCCCCCATCGAGGCTGCAGGTCAATCAGCTCGGCCTTCAACTTCTTGGGAGTGGGGGATCTAGGCCAGCAAGGGACACCTGTCACTGTGGCCCAAGTGTCTGTGGAGCTGGCGGTGCTGAGGGTCACGAGGACGAGAGAAGGTCCTGAGACCGTCTTAGAAATGGACGGTGACGTGGCAGGAGATGCGTTCTGCTGCTTCGCCATCAAAGGACTCCTTTCCTGGGCCTTTGATTCTTGCCATTTTCATGTTCGCTTTTAAAATGAGATAAAATGATTTCACTTTTAGTCTGTACAAATCTGTCCAGCAAAGGAAAATTTTCCTCCTTCAAAGAAATATCCCCCCTAACCCCCCACCCGGTTTTTCTTTTTGACAATTCTTTTGTAGCTTGGAGTTGGAGCTTCTGCCATCATTAGTGAGCTCCTCCCTCACCCCACGTACTTAGCCTTTCTATTTTGGTTCCTGCACAGGTTGGGGCACGTGGCTGGTTGTGTGCCCCAGACCCTGCTCCTCTCCTCAAAGGGAAAAGGGACACGTCAGCGTGTGGATCCTGCGCTGAGTCTTACTTACGCTGCGTGAGGCAGAGGAGGGGGAGGAGAGCACTGTGGGCCCGACAGAATGCGTCTGGGGATGTCAGACTTGTCAGATCTGGGGTTCAGGCGTAGTGGGAGGGCAGCTGCTTCATGAATAAATGTGCCCCGTATACGAGTGTGTCAGGGAGAGTGTGTGTATGTGCATGTGTGTATGTATAAGCGTGAGCCTCCAGGACCGTGTACGTGACAGAGCATCAGTGTAAGAGCATGTAGTTCTTCTGAGAGTCTTTAGAGGTGAAGGTCTGAGCAGACAGTGACCTCTCCATAGTCCTTCACAGCAAAGCTTCCACCACTGGGATTGGGCAGGAGCGCTGCTAGGGATGACTCGGGGTGATAGAGAATTGATGCCTTTGAGCTGTGGCGCTGGAGAAGGGTATTGAATACACCATGGACTGCTAGGAGAACAAACAAGTTCATCCTGGAGAGGGTGAAGCCAGGCTGCTCCTTAGAGGCAAGGATCCTGAAACTTCATCTGACATGCTTTGGACATGTGGCAAGGAGGGACCAGACCTTGGAGAGGGACATCATGCTTGGGAGAGTGGATGGACAGCGCAGGAGGGGAAGACCCTCTATGAGATGGATTGATTCAGTGACTGGGGTAACCGGGATGGGTGCGTCAGAGGCAGTGCAATTGGCACAGGATAGAGCAGGGTTTAGGGCTGTTGTACATAGAGTTTTTTATGAATCGCAAGTGACTCAACGGCACATAACCGCCACCGCCACCAAGAAGTTCCTGGGTAGATGGATGGTTGATTAGCATGCTTGGCTACTAACTGTTAGGTCGTGGTTCGTGTTCACCCAGAGACATGCCAGCCGAAAGGATTAAGAAAATGAGCCATTGAGTATCCCCTGGGGCAGTTCCACATGTTACCCACTGAGGTGCCCTCGGCTGGACTTGCCTTGAAGCGATGGTGCCACGGAAAAGCCAGAGAATTACGATTTTTTTTTTGGTTATTTTATTTATTTATTTTTATTTTATTTTATTTTTTTTACGATTTTTTATAAAACACCTATTTGCCTCCCTCCCTCCCCAGCCAGCGTTTATGCAGGTAGCGGACACTCTGTCTCTGAACACTGTTCAGGTTCCTCCATCGGTCAAGCCTCATACTCACCCTCAGAGATGGGATTTCCTTGGTCAAAGGGAGGAATCATTTGCCTATTTTCTTTTTCATGTATTTTTTAAAATTAATTTTAACGAACGTTTAGAGACACTTAGGGTTTCCAATTACTCATTGTTGCACTTTTCTCCCTGCCCAGCCCCTCCCCCCAATTCACTCTTCTACTTGAAAAGTAGAACTCTTTCATTGTTCTACAATCCCTGTCCCCAAGTCCACTCCACTGTGCAGCCTTCATTCTGGACTCCTATCATGACAATAATACCTAATCATATATCCCTTTTAAACAGTTCTCTCCCTCATCTGTTTCAATGCAGTAGACATCATTCCTCCCCTCCTTTTCTGTCCATTTTCTTTAGGAAAAGGAGACCCTTAAAGAAGGCTTTGGGGTTTGCATCTTGCCATTCCACCTGGTTAATGAAGGCTAAAATAGAAAGAGGACCTGCTTTCCCGTTTAAAGGGACGCTGTGCCTCTCTCCGAAGCCGCCTGCAGGCGTCAGCCGTCCGCAGTCCCTGGCAGACTTGTGAGCCCTGTCGGGAACCAAATTTAATTTCTTTGCTCCCCAGGGGATGTGCCGGGAGGAACTGCCCTGTTTAATGTCATGCCTGGTGGACAGCTATTACCGTTCATGACACAGGCGGGCCTGGCTTTCACAGCCCGCACGGGAGGAACCCCAGGCTCTTTAAAGCACACATCCTCCTCTCCTTCCAAGCAGGCTCAGATTTTTAACTGTCTTTAGAAAAAGGGCTAACTTATCGCTGACCTTCCTGAGTATACTTGATTCCACCCTGTGAATTGGCATTTAAACAATTTTAGTGAATAATGGACACATTTCTCCCCACGCTCCAATCTGAGACAGGAGGTTAGAATGAAGGTATCAGTCAGAAATAGGTAATATGGAAAATCATGAATGTGTCCCCATATCTTGCGTAATGTGATATTAGTTGGTGGTTCTGTCACCCTGACTGAAAAAAAAAAAATATAAGGCAGCTTCAGTTCATTTCTCTGTCCTGACTTCTGGGTAATTTGTCCTTTGTGGGATTTACTTACTTGTTTGAACGGCACAGTGTTAGAGGAGCTGCTGCTTGGAGGGGAGATGGGCTGACAGCCCCCGCTTGATAAGCTGCTGGGAGCAGTGGGGTGAGCCGCTCAGCGCTCTGTCCCTCTCACCAACCCCCTCGGGTGGACGGAGCAGCCGGGAGACTGAGGACAAGTATGTACATCATCGCTCACCACGGTCTCTTCCTTGAAGTGAGTGTGTGCTGTCCTCTCCTTGTCGGCTTCCTCCCTGGAACAGTGGTCACCTCGCTGGTGTGGAGGGAGCCCTGGTGGCCGAGGCCGTAGGGATCGACGCTGCTCATGGTCTGTCATGTGTGCAGTCATGGAGGCTCATGCTCCTATTTACACACACACACACACACACACACTCACTCACTCACTCCCTGACACGCTCACAGACGACACACATTTACACACGAAGCAGCTGCTCTCCTGCTACGCCTGAACCCCAGATCTGACAAGTCTGACATCCCCAGACGCATTCTGTCGGGCCCACAGTGCTCTCCTTCTCCTCCTCTGCCTCACGCAGCGTAAGTAAGACTCAGCGCAGGATCCACACGCTGACGTGTCCCTTTTCCCTTTGAGGAGAGGAGCAGGGTCTGGGGCGCACAACCAGCCACCTGCCCCAACCTGTGCAGGAACAGAAAAAGGACAAGTATGTGGGGTGGGTGAGAGGGGAGCTCATCAATGATGGCAGAAGCTACAACTCTAAGTGGTCAGACCGTTCTGAGGGGTCACATCCACCAGCCATTCCACGGGAGAAGGACTGGAAGCCACTCCCTTGAAAGTCCCAACTCCAGAGGCCATGCAGAGGGTCAGCTGTGGGTGGGTTCTGGGTCCAGGGCAGTGAGAGTTTGGTTTTCATTAATGCGTATTGTCTCTCCTTCTGTCTGACTAGTCTCCTGCACCCTAGGGGTTCACTGTAGTCTCCACAGCACAGGCTGAGTCCTGTGGAATGTTCTCCCCAAAGTTTAAATCCATCAGCGACTCAGAGGAAGATGGTCAGTCTCCTCCTGTGTGAAGTACAAACACCGGAGTCAGCTCTGACATGACAAGGAGTGGTGGTGGTTTTCTTTGATCACTGGTTAAGTGAGGGTCAGGGAATTATCAGGCACCATGCGGGGCACGGGAGGATGGGAAACAGCCCCACTTCCAAGAGCTTAGTGTCTCATGAGAAAACAAGTATTAAACCAGGGTGTCTCACAAAGGTGGGGTGTTCAGTTGGAACTGGAACCATAAAGGAGAAATCCATGGCACTGTGGGAGGTGGTGGTGGTGGGTAGGTACCATCAAGTCAGTGACAGCTCTCAGCGACCCTGTGAACAGTGGGTCTGAATGCTGCCTTATCCTGTGCCATCTTCACCGTCTCTGATTTTCTGGAGCTTTTTGCTAAGATCGCTCTATCGGTTAATCTTGTTGAGATCTTCACCCCCCCCTTCCCCCCCGCCCCGACCTTTCCAGCTCTGTCGTGTGCTCAGGTGTTTGCCTACACACCTGCCGTGTCGTGGCAGGATGATGGTCCAGAAGTAGTGCTGATTAGAGCCCCCAGGGATCGGCCAGGTGTGCAGCCTCTCAGCACACCTGTGCAGCTCAGGTGTGGAGCATCTCTCTCGAGCTTTGTGAATTCCAGCTGTGCTGTGTAGTTATTTGGAGGACATGATGAGATGCTGTGCTGAGATGCATCTGCTGTCCTTTGGCATTCTGGGGTTTACTGTGGCATCCTCGTGCACCGGGTGGAGGGTTGGGGTGGTGGACATCACACCAGCCCCGAGTGGACTGGCCCTTGTAGGCAGTGGCCCTGTCCAAACACCATTCTCGTTCAAGGGCGAAGGACTCTCTGCCAGCTCATGGCCTCCCTTCCTTGGACACCTGGGAGGGACTCCGATCTCTAGCCTCCTGGGTTCAGAGCCTGTGTTAAGGATTGCATTTGCTTCCTCCCTTGGGGTGTGGAATGGCCTAGAGAAGGATGATGATGTGCCCTGGTTTCTCCCCACAGGTACTTCGTGCTGGATTTTGAGGCTGGCATCCTGCAGTATTTTGTGAATGAGCAAAGCAAATTCCAGAAGCCACGGGGAGCCCTGTCCTTAGCTGGAGCCATCGTGTCCCTGAGCGATGAAGCGCCCCACATGCTGGTTGTGTACTCTGCTAACGGAGAGATGTACAAGCTAAGAGGTATGCTCTCCTCCTGGGAACCTCCCAGCCAGCCAGGTTGGGGACATCCATGGCTACCATGGTGATGGCTGGGCGGGGATGCTGACCTTCATAACAGTTGGCTTGGTTTGAGGGGTCTGTAGTGACCGACACTTCTCTTGTTCCTGGGATGGAGAGAGAGAGGGGTGTTAGGAATTGCTTATCCTATATAATCGTGGGATTCGGGACAAAAGATGAGAGATTTCAAAGTCAGCTGAGCCTTAGAAGGTTTAAAGGCCTTTATATTTTCGCTTATCTGGGCTGTATTTTCTTTGATTTTCTAGTATGAATCTTTAGCACATTGCCCTGTGTGGCCTGTACCATGAGAACAAAAGGAGCTTTTTTGGGGGTGGGTCATTGTCCCTCACTCAGTCTCCCTGGAACCCCTTTTTTAGTAAAGGGCTCCGTGTGCTTTAGAACTGTGTCTTCTTTGGTGTTCCAGCCCGTGCTGAGGTCGTTTGCCTGTTTGCTTCCTCCCGTTGCCTCTGCTGCTTTAAGCTCAGCTCTTCAGTGGAGAACTCCAGCCATTAGCTGGATAGTGGATGTGGTTAACATGCATGGCCGCTGACCCGAATCCACTGAGAGCTGCCCTAGAAGAAAGGCGTCTCTGAACAGAAATGGTCATCAGGTGCTTTCAAGTAGACTACAGACTCATCGGGACCCTATCAGCAACAGCTCTGCCCCGTCCCCACCATCGCGACGTCACTGTCAGGCCATCTCACCAAGGGCCTTCCTCTTTTCCTCTGCCCTCTGCCACCATGATGCCTTCTTCCAAGGGGTTGTCCCTCCCTAGAAACATGCCCAGTGTGTGAGACCACGTTTCACCCAGCCTGCCTCTGAGGAGCACCGTGGTTGCCCGTCCTCCAGGACAGACGTGGGTTCTTGTTTTGTTTTTGACGGTCAGTGATAGAATAAGCCAATGCTTATTGCCAACACCACATTTAAAAGGCATTTTTCTTCTGTCATCCTTGTTAGGGACCTCTCCAAAGTACTGAAGAGCAATGGTGTCACTCTGGAGACTAAGGTGCGCCTGATACAGGCCATGGTCTTTGCAATCACTTGTTATGCATCAGAGAGCTAAACAATGCTAGGGAGGATAGAAGGAGAATTGATACCTGTGAGCTGTGATGTTAGAGTATTGATTATACCATGGACTGCTAAGAAAACGAACAGGTTCATCCTGGAGAGGGTGAAACCGGGCTGTTCCTTGGAAGCAAGGATTCTGAGTCTTTGTCTGACATACTTTGGACATGTTGTAAGGAAGGAGAGGTCCTTGGAGAGGAACATCATGCTTGGGAGGGTGGAGGGACAGCGCAGCAGGGCAAGACCCTCTGTGAGGTGGATTGATTCAGTGACTGCGGTGACCGGGGTGGGTGTGTTGGAGATGGTGAGATTGGCACAGGATTGGCAGGGTTTAGGGCTGTTGTACACAGGGTTGTTCTGAGTCACAAGCGACTTGACGGCACACAACAACAACAACAACATCCTTGTTTATTGTCCAGCTTTCACATGCACAGGAAGCAGGTGGAAAATGCCTTGGCTTGGAGCCGGTGCGTTGTGGTCTTTAAACTGGTGGTGTTTCCCGTTAGCACCTTGGAGAGGTCCTTGACAGCAGGAGAAAAATAGACCTTAAACACTTGACGAGCGCACAGTTCTGCAGACCCTGAGGACTGGCACGAGATGCTCATGGATGGCAACTTTGAGATCCCCCAAGGCGAATCCGTCACACAAGTGCTCAAGAATGCCAGACTTCCCGGGAGCCCTGCAGTGGGATTGCTTGGCACTTCTACCAGCTAAGGTGCATCGCCATCATTCTGCTGTCAGTTTTATTCTGACAGGGGGAAAAATCAACCACATCACAAAACAAGTCAGAAATCAAATGCACACATATATGTCTGCTCAGTATGAGATACTGAAGACCTGAGGAAAGGTGGGCTGTGTTAAGCATTCACTCGCTGCTGTCCACTTCACTCTGGCTCATCGCTGACCCTCCCTTGGATTTCTCAGGCCGTAAATCTTAAGGAAGAGATTCTCCATCTTACGTGTTTTTCTCTGCTCCAGTGAGGTGAGGCACAGAGAAGACGCATATTCTCTCTATCTGACGTCCCGGGAACTGTCACAGTGGCCCCTGCAAAGCTGACTGGAAGCCTGGCATCTTCATCTCAGTCCAGGTGTCACTATTCTCCACCACGTTTTGCTCTCAAGAGATGGAGTGCACAAGACTTGTTCGTTCTTTCTTTTTTTTTTTAAA